CCAAAGTTAAATAAAAGTGAAAGAGAGAATGAGTGGGAGAAACTTTGGAGAAGTAAAGAAGATGAAGTAAAGAATGAAGTTTTTACTTTGACAAGAAGATGAGGTAACTCACTTATCTTAAAGTAAATGTTTAAGTTTATGTTTTGATGTTAAGTTTACATGTTTATAAGTATGTATAAACATGATAAAGAAGTTAAGTTTATAATTAATTCTATGAATATAAAGAGTTAAAGATATTCAAGATCAATTATATGATGTACATGCTTGAATTTGATAAGATGATGATAAATATATGAATAAGCTGAAATTATAAGATTTAAATGAATGATTCTTATGTAAAAGAGGAGTACATGAGAATAAGAATTAAGAGATTTAGTAAAGTATAACTTGAGTTATGAATATATGAAGATGAACATGCAAGATAAAGATTATGTTCACTATTAAAGTTAAAGTTATCATAACTTGATGAATATGCATGATAAGATTATGAAATTTTGAGCATATGTTTAATGATAAGATGAGATTATGACTGTTCAGTTTCAAAAGTTAAAGATGAGAAATGAATAAGTTATGAAGATAAGAAAGCATATAGGTAAAGATAAGTATATATGTGCAAGAATAGTCATAATAAAGTTAAGTTGTTAAAATGAGATGTTCATGAGTAATTTTCATATGAATGATGAGTAATTTTCATATGAATAATGAGTAATTTTCATATGAATGATGAGTCATATGATGGAGTTTTGATATAATATATGGAGTATACAATTTACTAAAGATTGTATTAAGTATGCTATATTATATCATGGGAAAAGTTAATGAGCAAATGTGATAAGTAAAGATGATTATTAATGAGATTATTATGAACAATTCTCATAAGTGATGAACAATTTGATAAAGTTTTAGTTAATATGTTGAGTATACAATTTTATATAAATTGTTTTAAATCTCACATATTAAGAACATGATGAGAAAGTTAAGAATGATATGATTATTTTCACTTTCAAGATAATTAAGTGAAAAATAAGTCAATATCTAAAGTTTGAGAAGTATGATGTATGATGAATTAAGTACTTGATTGAGTAAAAGATTAAGTTAAGATGAGTTTATAAACCATGATGATGAAGATGATGGTAAAAAGTAAGTTTAAGTACTTAATCAAGTATAATGTGAAATATAGTATTTTTCATATTTGAGTTATAGCATGTTATGAAACATATTGATGTTTAAGAAGATATGTTTTATAAGGTTAAGTAATTAACCTTGAGAAAAAGTAAAAAGTGAAGTTAAGTATAATCTTAACTTGAGAATAAGAAAGTTTAAATGAATTATTAGAAGAATGGGATAAGTTAATAATCCTAAGAAATTATTGAGTATACGAGCATAGTACTTAGTATATTTGTCTATATTTGAATTGACTTGCAGATACAGTACCAGTACAGCACTTATCGTGTTACAAAAGATTTCAAAGATGAAAAGGTGGGGACCCTGAATGGGTAGCACATTGAGTACGATATGTGATATGGGATGAGGAGACCATCAGTTGTCTCAAAAGTTATATCCCGAAGTTAAGGTTTATTACGCTTGGGATGAGGAGACATTAATTTGTCTCATAAGATTATATCCTAAGTTCTGGTGGAGGCGAAACGGGCCTTAAAAATATCCATCAGAGTGTGCACACGTATCCGATTAATCATCGGCCAGAGAAATGAAAGTTTAAGTTTAAGTTACCGATCAAATATCGGTTTATGATTATCCATATTCGTTACTCACCCCCATGAGTTTTAGTTTCAGGTAACAGGTTAACGAGGAGGTGTAAGTGGAGCTGTGTTGGTGTGGATCGTGGAAGCAAATGAAGACAAGCTTAATGTGGACATTGAAAACAGTCTGTATAATTAACCACGTTTTTTTTTAAGTATTCCGCTATGCACATTAATGATTGAACTTGCATTTTATAAGTTTTACCATGTTGAGAAATATAATTATGGTATTTTGAGAAATATAATTATGGTAAATTGAGAAATATAAATATGGTATTTGAGAAATAGAATTATAGTATTTTAAATGCAAGTTTAAAGATAAATCTGTTAGACAAAAGTTTAAAGATAAACAGATTTTTATGAAGACAAGTTAAGTAGCATCCCGAGTTCTTCATAAGTATTTCGAAAGAGTTAAAGTATTTCGAAGTAAAAATTGCGAAAAAGTTACTCTGATAAGCGGGCTGTTACAGAGTGACCCGCCACTGGGGTCGAACACAGAGAGCTGAACGGCCACTGTGGTCGAAAACCGAATGACCCGCCACTGTGGCCGAACACCAAAAGCCAAACTATCACTTAGGCCGAAAACTGAGAGACCCGCCATTGGGGTCGAACACAGAAAGTTGAACGACCACTGAGGTCGAAAACCGAATGACCCGCCATTGTGGTCGAACACCAAATGCCAAACGACCACTTAGGTCGAAAATCGAGAGACCCGCCACTGGGGTCGAACACCGAAAGCTGAACGACCTTTGATGTCGAAAACCGAATGACCCGCCACTGTGGTCGAACACCAAAAGCCAAATGACCACTTAGGCCGAAAACCGAGAGACCCGCCACTGGGGTCGAACACTGAAAGCTGAACGACCACTGAGGTCGAAAACCAAATGAACCGCCACTGTGGTCGAACACCAAAAGCCAAACGACCACTTAGGTCGAAAACCGAGAGACCCACCACTTGGGTCAATCACCGAAAGCTGAATGACCACTAAGGTCGAAAACCGAATGACCCACCACTGGGGTTGAACACCAAAAGCCAAACGACCAGTTAGTTCAAAAACCGAGCATATTTCTATGCTCCTCATTTTGCAATGTCGACTTTCCTATGCTATCTCCCGATCCGCTTACTTTGGTGGATTTTCTCGATCTCTTCACGAAGTCTTGAATTTGAAAATTTGAACTTACATCTATTGCTTCTCGACCACCATGTTCGAGCTCTCTTCATTCAAAGATAAACCTTTCCAGCCAATTCTTCCTATCATCGCCCCCTTAGTTCAAAATTTTAAATTCAACCCTGTTGAATATCTTCTCGAAAACCAAACGTCCTGACACCACACCGAAGTCGAAAGCCGAATTCGACAAAACCAAATAAAATCATCAACCTGAATAACCTGACTCCGTGAGCTGTTTCTAGTAAACTCCCTCGACCTACCTTGAGGTCGAAAAATAAATTCGACAAAACCACAATCAAGTAAAAATCATCGACCTGCCACCGAGGTCTTCGAATAATCTCCACGAATTGTGCCAAATGAACTCCCTCGACCTGCCTCGGAGGTCGAAAAATAAATTCGACAAAACCACAATCAAGTAAAAAATGATTGACCTGCCCGGGCTATCCGTCCTCCATGTCTTCAACGACCCAGCATTAGGATCGATCACCCAGCCTCACCGTCTTAGTTGTGGTGGATTTTTGTCTTCGAACACATGCCCACCATCAAAGGAATGGTCGATACATGTGACCACCCAGCCTCACGGCCTTAGTCGTGGTGGATTTTTGTCTTCGAACACATGTCCACCCTCAAAGGAGTGGTCGTTACATGCGACCACCCAGCCCCGAGGCCTTAGTCATGGTGGATTTTTTGTCTTCAAACACATGTCCACCCTCGAAGGAGTGGTCGTTACATGTGACCACCCAGCCTGGAGGCTTTAGCCTCAGGGCCACCAATTAATGTCGGCCGGGCCCGCTAATGGGACCGTTCGAACAGACGACCACTCATAGTGTGTTTTCGGCCTTGAAGCCACCAATTAACGTCTGCCCGGCCCGCTAATGGGACCGTTCGAACAGACGACCACTCAGGGTGGGTTTTCGGCCTCGAGGCCACCAATTAACGTCTGCCTGGCCCGCTAATGGGACCGTTCGAACAGACGACCACTCAGGGTGGGTTTTCGGCCTCGGGGCCACCAATTACAGAAATTCTATGGTGCCCATATGGGCACCATAAGCCATGCCACAATATGATGTGTCAACGTGATGTGGCATTATTTACTAAATTTATTTAATCCAACATGGCATAAAATATGTGGCTTTTTCAAAGATTTTCCATAACAAAATTAATTAATAAACCTTTTTTCCCGATAATCATTTCATAAGTCGCCGTTTCCCCAAATTCACCTGCAATCTCACTACCTCAATCATCGACCTCACGACCTAAGTTGCCGATGCCACCGGTATGGCCAAAATCGGGCCGCCTGCTGAGTTTTCTGCAGTGATTTTCCGACAAATTGGTAGCCGCAGCTGCAATTTGGGACGGGGCGAGGGAGCTAGGGATGGACGACACCTTCATGGATGGTTTTCCGCGGGAGTTCGAGCAATTGGGGCTTGGTTGCCGGTGAAGCTTCTCGATTCGTTGGTCTGGAGGAGGAGGGTGATGAGGCGGGTGAGATCAGCGAGCGGCGGCGGAATGAGGCCGCTGAGGTTGTTGGTGGATAGGTCGAGGTGGTGAAAGGCGGAGATTTCCGGCGAGATCTGGACAGAGAAGGCATTGCCAGAGAGGTAGACGAGCTTGAGGTGCAGCGGGCGAGGGGGGAGAGGGTGTCATTTAGGTGGTTGTCACGGAGGTCAATGAGGCGGAGCTGGTCGAGGGATGCAAAGTCATCAATGGGGCAGCAGAGGTATTGGAAGGGGTGGACGACGGCAGTGACGTGTCGTTGGTGACACGTTTGAACATTCAAGTCGCGTAGTCAGCGGCCATCCATGTCGTGCCCCACGAGCATCGACACACGCAGGGCTTATTTCAACATACAAACAGAGACATGGATGTCGTGCCCCCATGTCAGCGGACTGACAGCGCTGCTCAAGGCTTTGAGTCTTGCGGCCATCCAATCGGCACTCGACTACCGCCTACACAACAGACGGGAGAGACCACCCCATGATATGACATATCCACGGGCAAAAAGTCCACACCATTCGATCCTGGAGCAGGGCACATTAACTCCATATCCTCCCTCGACCCAGGCCTGGTCGACAACAGTAACATCAGAAGAAGTTGAGATGTGGGTGTTTCGTTTGTAAACTTTCTTATATTCGTACATGATTAGCTATATGAAATGCAACGGTATTTTTTCGTGCAATGGGATGAAGTTGAGATGTGGGTGTTTCGTTTGTACACTTTTTTATACTCGTAGAGGATTAGTTATATGAATTGCAACAGTATTTTCTTGTGCAATAGGATGGAGTTGAGATGTGGGTGTTTCACGGCTTGAAATGGAATCGTTTTTTAGACCACTGTCGATTTCTGATGGCTTGAAAACTTTATTGTTCATTTTAGACAAATATTTATGCACAGTATTTGTCATATTTTTTCTTTATGGCTCAACATGAAATTAGTTCAAAAACATTAGATTACTTCTTTTGTTCTTTCGTGCAAGGAATTAGTTTACATCTTTATATACTTTCTGGAGGAACTTACTGTCAAAAGATCAAATGACAGATAAATTCTAGTGACTGAGTAATAAAAGTGCACAAATTTGAATTGCAAACATCTGCTCAATATATTTTGCATATCTTACTGTCAAAAGATCAAATGACAGATAAATTCTTGTGACTGAGTAATAAAAGTGTACACATATTTGAATTGCAAACATCTGCTCAATATATTTTACATATCAACAATGCTATTTGAGGTACAAAATACCAATAGAGCCAAAGAAAATATGCATCCAGCAACAAAATATTCTGTCTGGCCAGATCCCCACAAAATGCCAAACAATACCAGTAATAAAAACAATGAACAAAATGAACAGAACACTAATAAAGCAATGAACAAAATACCAGCAAGTACTTCTCTGTGTTAACTTTCAAGGAAAAAAAGTTATCCAAACAATACCAAAACTCCATTAAAGCCACTTTCAAAACTATAAGTCAAAACTAACATAAGAAAGCCACTTTCAATAAAAAATAAATAAATAAATAAATAAAATATCAAACTACATCTGGAAAAAAACTCCGATAAGGCCAAATACTCGTGTAATCATATCCCTCATCCACAGTGTCGACCAAATCCCGACCCGCCATTTCTTAACTGTCCTCGACTATGATATTATTCGATAAAGGTGACGGACGATATGGTTCAACTTCATCAGCAATTCTACAAGATTTATAAAATGTGATAAAAGAATAAAAATAATAGATAAAGGTTAAAAACGATGAATGTTTGGCTGAATAAATCAAGCTCCTCAGATACACTTCTCTCCTTATAAAACTAATTTCATAATTTTTTAATTTTCATCATTTTGCATTAATGCTATACGATAAGAATTATTTTCAGTTGTTTCTTCTCAGTATCAACATTCATCATTTATTATAATAAATAATTATCTGGAACGAAATCAACAGAGAAGAGAAAAAAAATTTGAAAAATTGGAAAATAAGCAAAAGTAATATAAAAATTAGAAAAAAAAAAAAAAAAAAGTTACACAACTGAATGATGCTTGAGCAATCAGTCAGACGATGAGAACATTTAAGTTACCTGTCTTTGCCTTTAATTTTAGGACATGTACGTGCGTTATGACCAACTTTGCCACAATTGCGACAATGCTTGCCTCCACTTTTAATTGCCTTATCTCGCATACTTAATAGTCGTTTGCGGCCACGAGCTACACGATTAGTAGTTGGATCACTTACAAAACCCTCACCTTTGTGCTCTTTTCCCGAGCATGACTCTTGTGTATCATTGGGGGTCACAACTTCATTCTCTTGTATTTTTTATTCTGCTTCTTCAAACATTTTGTGTAACATTATAGTAGATTTTTCGGTCAAAGCAGCCTTTTGGATCAACCATTTCCACTTCTCAGATAACCCTCGGCTACGCTCTATATATCCTCGTGCTTGGATGATAGGAGAAGCGACTGTTTGAAATGAAATTGGTGATCCTACCTCTTGTGTCCAACGAGACAAGATATATTCTTCTGGCAACAACTTGATTTGCATAACCTATATAAAAAACAACATTAAATAAAATGAGATGCATATATAATTATGTTGTAAATCATTACATACCATAAATTAACAAAAAGAATTACCTGCATCATATATAGCATGTGCATACCTGGAATCCCCATATCATTAAATTTCTGGCAACTACATGAAAGAAAGTTCGTGGAAACATTTTGTGTCACCCGATAAGTTTTATCCTTCAACTCCGATCCACTAAATGGGAACACTTCATGGACACAAACTACCTCATTTTTTACAACGGGTTTTCTGATGTACTCTGGTAAAACCTTCAATTGTTCTTGAAACATTTTAAATATTGTCCTCGTATACCTTGTCGACAACTGCCGCTCCATTGGTTGTGTAGAATTCAATGACGGTTTCTCATTTTTGTCGGCATGGTCTAGTAATAACGTTTTATGCCTTTGCCTCGAAATTGCATTCCTAAACCGCGTAAAAACATCATTGAGGGAGCAGTCACGGCTCAAATATTTCTTAAAAAAAGAGTGATTGCTTTCAGCACGTTGTGAGGATGACATTCCTGCTGAGAAAATATTTTTCAAATATGCAGGGATCTACATTGCCCGAATAGTGTACATATCATTCACCCATTTATTTTGACTCAAAGATGTAGTACTCATTAACTTTGACCAACGGGACTCAAACTCCTCTGGATCATCCGAGTCCATGATAGCATGCACCAATTTGGTTTTGTCATCTCCATGCATGGCGATATTTATTTTTTCCGGAAACTTGGAAAGTATGTGCCACAAGCAAAGTCTATGCACAGTGTCTGGAAATACCTCATGAACTGCCGCCGCAATAGCCGCATCTTGGTCAGTTATAAAAATCCCCGGTTGACGTTTTCAGGCATCGAATTGAGAAACTGAGAAAATAACCAAGAAAATGATTTGATTCGTTGGTTACTCAAAAGACCACAGCCAAAAACTATAGTCTGGTTATGATTATTCACTCTAACAAAGGGGCAAAAAAACATTCCATATTTGTTGGTGCCAAATGTTGAGTCAAATACCACCACCTCTGGAAAACAACCATTAAGAGTTTCTTGCATGCGCATCACGCCAGTAACAACGATCAAATGTATCACCAGACTCATGAGTTTCATAAGCAAAATAGAAAGACTCACACGTTGTCTTCTCCGTCTCAAAGTGCCCAATTAACGTTTCAGCATCATGTCCAGTGACCACATTTTGTAATTTTGAAGCATTGTTGTACAAGTCTTTTTCTAGACAACCTATTTTATCAGGACCCCCAGCATCACTTTGTAGTACCCTCCGAAGATCAGATGTTCTCAAATTGGCATTTCTAAACTTGACAGCAAGGGACCTTATTGCAGGTGAGACATCCCTATGAACTCTTAAAGCGTGCACCTTGCTCGGACTGGTAAGAGGATGATTGTGTTTCTCATTAAATTTCAAAACTCTCCAAAGTTGTTCATCTTTTTTCCAGCTTACAGTCATCCTAGCCAAACACTTGCATCTGACAATCTTTCCCGTTCTCCAGTTCGTTGAACAACATGCTTAATTTTGTCTTAGTATCTCATATTCTTCGTCCCTTCTTTATTACAAACGAACATTTTCCATATGACTTCTTGATTGTGGTTTTTCATGTCATTTCTTTCTCTAACGCTAAAAACAGCTTCTTTCGAATAAGCAATATAGAAATCTTTAGCTTCATCTTTCAATTTCAAATAAGGATTTGTCCCGCCGTGGTTGGGGAAATGCAGCCTCATCTTTCTTTCTTTTTTTCCTTTTTTTCTTTTTTCTCAGGATGTTTGAAAACTCTGTTTTTCATGAGGAATTGATGCAAATGCAACCTGTGGAATATAATCACTATCGGCTTCACAGTCATCTGAGATTAAATATGAAAAATCAAGTCATATAAATTGTTCCGAGTTATTAAATTGATCAATATATAATTGTGACTTACCAGCTAAACTTGTGTTAAGTTGCTCATCAAATAACCGACCAGAATCCTCATCGTTTTCATCTCCAGATATGGAGTGCGACACAAACTTTTGCATCGACATTAGGTAAGCTGTGTGAAAAAAATATATAATAATATAGAATTATGATTAAATTAAAGTAAATTCATTTTTATTCTTCCAAGATCTCTTATAAAAAAATAAAAAAGTTATTAATACACTTAACACAACAATATTCTCCTGCACAATTAGCCAAAAAATCAAGTCGCACCAATACACATTATTAGTAAACTATGTCGAGCTAAAAAAGCTGGTTAACACCTATGTAGTTGGTTTTCCTTTCACTTTTTAATTTCTGTTTTCATGTTATTACATTGTAACATATCTGATACAGGAAGATGACATAAAGAGACCCTTATTTCAGGAGGCCTGGGTAGTGCTGAAAGCCAAAATTATGAAACTTCATTAAGTAACTCCATTCGGCAGTATGGTAATCCAATTCAGGGGGTAGGATAAACATATTCTACAGCATTAGCACATAAAAACAGGTAGTCGGCACCACCAAAATTGACTCACAGTAATAGATGCTAACTTTTGCTACTTTTGTTGTCTTTTCTTATTTTAATATGTCCGAGTCTGGGAGATAACACAATGAAAAGGAAAACATCATACTGTCCCCAAGCTAACCATCACAGATTAGCCCCTGCATGTTTAAAACTTTTAGCAAAATCTTACAGAGCAACCACAAACAAGCTTATCAATTTTTATAGAGCATACAGTAATTCTTGAATGAATCGGCATATCAATTGATGATGATCACAAGATATAAAACAGGCTTATCAATTTTTATCGTATTGAATGTATGTTGATATGTGGGCATCTTTAATCAAATAATCAGCCCTTTTAGAAAGAAGGAAGCTATGGCAATACCTTTCCCTGTTGGTCGAGTTTGGCGGAGTAGATCGTCGGCAAGTGGAGTTGGTGGAGACTGCCGCCGGTTGTTTGTGGAGTAGGCGCGGATCGTGAAGCTCAAACGAAGCTGCGAAAGCAGAGGTTTTCTTCACGGGACAGAGGTTGGCGAAAGCAGAGGTTTTTTTCGCGCGGCAGAGGTTTTTCTTTTTTTCATGGAGCAGAAGTTTTCTTCGCGGGGCGTAAGATTCTATGCGAGATTTTTTATTTATTTCTTTCACCATAGTTGTTTTATTTTTATGGAAACATATTTTATGCCATGTTGGATGAAATAAATTTAGTAAATAAAGCCACATCATGTTGCCACACATATTGTGGCATGGCTTATGGTGCCCATATGAGCACCATAGAATTTATGCACCAATTAACGTCTGCCCGGCCTGCTAATGGGACCGTTCGAACAGACGACCACTCAGGGTGGGTTTTCGGCCTCGGGGCCACCAATTAACGTCTGCCCGGCCCGCTAATGAGACCGTTCAAACAGACGACCACTCAGGGTGGATTTTAGACTCCTGAACAGTTCGAGCACTTCGACCTGCCACTGAGGTCGAAAAGAAAACACACCAAACACCACGAGACAAAATAGTAATTGATCATTTTCATTAGTCATATTAAATGCATAGTTATATCGCACAAGATAAAAAAATCAAGCATATTTTTTTACCTCCCTTTCCTGTCTTTACACGACGACTTGAGTTGTTGTTTGCTCCATGCTTTCCACTCCTCACCATAACCATTATCCAGTTCACCTGCTCATGCATTTTCCTCAGCAACATTCAACAAGTTCCATTAGTCGTATTTTATCCACATCATCCAATTTGCAATCCCGATAGCAATAATAACAAAAGACGAATTAAATCAAAGCAATCACATTGGTCCACATTCGTTTATACCACACCTCAATCTACATGCAAGTCTCTACCACTATATGAAATCGCATAAACACCCACTCAAATGTACAGTCGACCAGAATTTCGCAAAGCCATGAATTCAACAAACAATTACAACAAACCATACCAGCTACAAACAATCATTAAACGAATGCACCAAACAAAAATTCAAATGAGTTACTCCCAATACCGAGCTCCTTAGTCATGACGACTCGAGACTGGTAGGACCAAAGGCCTTAGTCATGCCAAATTTTTGTTCAACCCTCCACGAACACCTCATTTTCTGCATTTTGTTAGTCACCTGAATAGTAATTTTAAACATATCCATATACACCACAACCCCGGCCACATTTTACCCGAAATATTCAAACAATGAACATTCCTCCCAAAAAAGAATGCTAAGAGACTCCATATGTCACAAAATAGTTTCAGTCGATCTTGACCATCGACAAGAGTTGGGATTAATTTTATACCTGGAGGTCGAGAATGCCACTCCCAATTATCCTACCTCTCCAAAAGAGAATGATTTCTGCCTCTGAAATTGCCACCTGCGATCGGCACCATCCAAACTCGTCCTTCCTTATCACCGTGCTTTGATGGTTTCGTGCTTGCTCATTGTGTCCTCAAAACTCCACAACTCGTCCGCCATAGCTTGTCGAGACTCGGGTTATTTCGTTGTTTCCTCGACAAGAATTTAAAGAGATATCATTATCCATACTATATTCACATCATCCATTTTGCAATTCTGCACGCAAGAAAAATAAGAGATCAAATACAATCATCACCATCTCCTCAATTTAAGATATGCTCGAGCAATGACGTGCTTAAAAATTATGAGTAAGTTCGAACAAAATTCCACATTTTCACGTGAAAATCCAAATGAGAGGCTCCGAGATATCAAATATCAAATTATATAATTTTAATCCATCTCCTCGAGCCCATCAATAAATGCACCAAACACATGATAAGACCTATCACAAAATATCCTCAATTCGAAATCACGACTCACATTTATTCTCGATCAAAATATTGTCATGTCAAATATTGCTTGTCTCACCAAGTGCAACAAATAAACCCAAACCATTTCTCCATGAATAGACCAATAATCTTCAAGAATATATCAAATATTCTTCACGAATAAACCAAATAATACCTCCTCGAACAAATCAAATAATTCCACGAATATATCAAACAGTTCCTCGAGTAAATCAAATATCACATCCACGAATAAATCAAATATCTTCGTTATGAGAATGCTATCTCAAATTACCTCACGGACTATCCAATCGTCCCAAAATAGTCTCGGGCACCAAATAGGGCTGTTAGACCAAGCTAGGTTACTCTAGGCCGCTGCTGGGCCAAATTTGCTCACTGGACCGCCAAAATAACTCGCTACGCCGCGCAATGGGCCAGAAAGTTTCGCTTGGAGAGCTTGGGCCGCTAGCGGGCCACAACTGAGCTGGACGCGGGCCAGAAATGGGCTTCTCGCAGGATCGGCACCTGTGGGGACGCGCGCCACATCGCGGGCTGGGGCCGGGCCGTGCGCAGGCTGGGTACGGGCTTCCACTGTGAGAGACACGGGCCTCACGGACTGGGCGCGGCCCGCGCATTTTTCTTCCTCCTGTGCGATGGGCTTGCTAGAGTTGGGTCGATTACATGATCGTTGGGCCTCCTCACTGGGCTGCGGGGTGCAAGGCCTCCGCCCTCACTAGGCTATTCTCCTGGGCCGCTGACGTCGGGCTATACACCTGGGCCTCGCCGTCGGGTCGTTTCCTCTCTTGGCCGTGAGCTGCGTGGACCAACAGCTGGTCAGCTGAAAAGGGAGCAGCGGCCGCGGCTTCACCGGAGAAATGTCGCTGGATAAAAGTCACCGGCTCCGACGAAGATTACCAGCCGTGTGCGCCTCAGAGAGACGATCCCGATGGTGCCGTCGGATCGAAGCGGTTCACCGGAAATCAACGGGAAAATGGAGAAGATGACCGGATTTTGACCAAACTTTTTCTAGATCCTAAAATTTTGACCGTAAAATTGATGGCTTTCCCGGAAGAATTTTCGCTTGAAAATTCAAGGGTATAACAAGCACGAGAAGAGCTTCGCGATGATGTAGAGATTTTTCCGATCAGAGAATCTTTTGCGGTGGTTGGCGGCGGCCGGCGAAGGTTAGGCTCTGTAGATTCACCTCGTCAAGAGGATTCCGGTGGTACCCTCGGATTCTTCATAGCCCTCCCGTATCGTCGGGAAAATGCATTTGAATGTCTGATCTTGATTAAATTTTTGCTAGATCTGAAAACTTTGAGCGCAAAATTGACGGCCTTCCCGGAGGAATTTTTGCATGAAATTTTAAGAGGAGATTCACCTCGAGAAGATCTACCCGATGACACCAACAATTTTACGATCGGAGCACGTTTTCTGGCGGCCGGCGGCAGAGGTGGTGGCCGGCGGAGGTGGCGGTGGCGGCGACCGGTGGAGATGAAGGAGATTGCTGAAAAATTTTTGAAATTTTTCGATCGGAACTCCGTTTGACTTTTTGAACGGGTCCCACAGACGGCGCCAATGAAGTGAATAAGATTTCACCCGGGCTCCTTCAACTCAAACGGCCACCGGACCTGCAAGAACCCAATGCCGGAAGGGGTCCCAGCGTCGGGCCTCCGACGCTCAAGTCAGTATCACTCCAAATCCCAAGAATATAATTATGAATGTAGAGAGAGTGAGAGAATGAGATACCTTAGCCCCATTTTATAGGAGGAGTGTACCTTACGGCCCAAGTAGGGCTTGTCCAATAGTATCATGCCACGTGTCCTAGCCATGTGTAGACTTATTCTTCAATATATTCCCTTTTTATCCATTAAACCTGGTCTAGTATAATATCCTATATCACTTTCATTTATTTTTTATTATATAAATATATCGCAAAAACTATACTTAATATTTTTTATTATATCATTATTTTGTGAGAATTAAATAGTTATGTCAATTTGATTGAGAATATCCTTCTACTATACACTTATATAACTTCAATATTTTGGTTATGATATTATAAAAAGATTGATAAAGATTGTGCAAATCTTAATAAGAAGAATAATTTTTTTTTTCTTTCAATTGTGTAAAATGGAGCAATATTGAAAATCTCTATATTGAGGGACTGCGTTTGATAATTTGTCATGTCATCCACCACAGAGTTAAATGAACCAATTGTAATATTGTTAAGACATGCCAGCATGCCCTGACATTTTTTGTTGGGTTTTGAAGTTCAGACAACAATTATCTTACTTTTAAATAATTTTTAAATAATACATGCCTAATTTTGAGAAATCCGATTCCAATAGAACCAATTATGAAACACCCTACAACTACGAAAGTAATTTTGATATTCCTTCGTGTATAAATTTAAACTATAGTAGGCGAGTCATGTTTGCAAGAAAATTGATACTTATTGCTTATGAATATATAGTACACATTTGATGCATTTATCCTCAGCCGCAGCAAATTTCAGATATATCAGAATATTAACTTCTT